CCAACTTACATACCCAACTAAATTTTTTATTTTTAAAAAATTTAAACGCAACTTAAACACGAAAAGAAAAAAATTCAACCTAATCAAACTCTAACAATTTGGATCAGACAGTCTTAATTATTTGAGTCATCCAGTTCTATAAGCACTCCCATTAGACTGCAATTATTCTGGGCCCTCGCTCACACGAGTAGTCGTCCTCATGCCATATAGCTCACAAAAATTGATTAAAGTGCTAATATAATATATGATTGTAGTGGTTCAATAATTTGTTAAAGATGATATGGAGGAGGGTGGGTGCTTTGGCCTTGGAGACAGAACTCAAGCACATGGGTTGCCTGCCTCCTTCCATGGGGCCTCACCCTTTTTCAGCTTTCAAAACCTGCCTTTCAGTCAAACACATCATATGCACAACACTCACCTATATATTACCAATTCATTAATATCAATTTTTTTTTAAATAATTAAAAGTACTCTTATAATAAATTTCAATATCCTCAATACACAATTAACTTTAAACTTTAACTTATCTGGGTCGGTGGAGAAATTATTTATTTTCGTATACTAACAATAAAAAGAAAATTTCTACAAATTTAAGGATATTGATATTGCTTTTGAATCTATTATCTAATCATATTCATTGTTTCGACGTCTCCAAATGATACTCAAATATGAGTTCATTATCCAGACTATCAAAAGTATATGTCCAAGGACCGACCACCTTTTTGAATGTCCTCCCCTCATGATATTTGAATAACCTTCCTTTTCAAATTTCTAAACACTTTCCCATTACTTTTTATATACAAAGTCGAGTCAGATATAGATTATTTTAATATTTAATGATTGTATTTAAAGTCGATGAAAGTATATAATCTAATCCAACCCAAAATTATTTAAGGTTTCGTTGAATTGTGAACTCTGTTCGAACTATTTGCGTTATCAACCAAACTAATTTGAAATTTTGAATTGGTCCAAAATATTTTGCTAACCAAACTCATTTGGTATATATTAAAGTACTCCAAGAGTGAAAATTACCGTGCAAACTAATACAAGTCATTTTAACATATTTTGTCCTTCCTCCCATTTTTGCATCAAGATTATCACTAATGGGCGCTACACTCCAATGCATGATAAGAATGCTGCTGGAGTTGCATGGTCATAGTTTGTTAGCATTGAAAAACTCAAAAGCAAAATGAAAGAAGACAACACAAACAAACACAACAAACATTACTCACTTCAAACATTATTATTGTAACATTACAATACAAACATCATCAAACCACACACACCAGGTTGTTTTTGTCAGACCAAATACAAAAATCTCTTCCAGTAATACCTAAACTTCAAAACCCATAATCCCTTCTGGTCAAACAAACTTTTTGCAATTCAATCTCTGCCTCTCTCTGTTCTAGCCTAAACATAATACCAACTCTCTATTTTTGGGGTTAGACTGTAATTTTAGGGGGAACTCATGAATTTGTCAGTGAATGAATCACCTTAGCCATCTTCTTAGATCCGTCGTTGAAGAAGGGGAAATCTCGCCGCCGAGGCTGTCGGTGCAGCATGATGAATAGTTGGATTGCTGTTCCATCCCAAAGTACGTCCCGCTTACGCTCTTGAAGCTTGGACTTTTCAAATTTCGCTCGTAAACGCCATACCCATTTGGGTCAGGAACTGGGAATGATAGCCGTTTTTTTGCTGACCCAACTCCTCTCTCCCTCTCCGGCGTTGATGGCCGTTGTCTCGGCGCGCTATGTGACCGTAATCGTGCCTTTGCGGACTCTGTGGCTGCCATGTAATTCGGCAAACAATTGGCTTGGCTATAGCTGCTACTTGCTGCTGTTCTACTTTGTTGAAGTAAATTGCCACTGTAGTAATAGTTTGACCTTAAGCTTGGTGTTTGGGATGTGTTTTCGCTTTTGTCGTCTCTGATGATACGTGGGCTTGCGGACCGGACTAGCAGAGGTCTTGTTTTAGATGGGGACGGCGTGGCTGGTGAGTGGTGGAAACAGGGTATGCTTTGTTGCGACCGGTGGAGTGGCGAGCTGCCGGAATGTGGATTTGTTCTTTGTTGATTCTGAACCGTTCTCCGGTGAGAGTAGGGCTGGAAGGTGTCGATTTCCACTGTTTTGATGGGGTCTCTTTGATCAGTTGAAGCTCTTCCCCTGTTTTCCAATGGCTTCCTTGAATTCCATTGATCCAGCCATTTGGGTCTTTCTTCTAAATCATCTCCGCTTCCCATGGATGGACTTCGACCTCTCCGCCATATCTGAAAAAACAGAACAGACCCCTCAAAACAGAGCACCAAAACAGAGCAGCAAGAGATAGAGAAAGAGATGAACCTGTTGGGAGAAGGCGTGGGAGAGATTTCGATCACGCTTCAGGGCGATCTCTTTTCTGTGTTGAAGCATAGCTTTCACTTCTTCAACAGAGTGGGGCCGTTCATCCCAATCGTCTGTGACAGTGCTACTTCCCTCCCTAGACTGAGACTGCACGACAGGACACCATTTTCATTCAAGTTTCTTAATTTCAAATCAAGAACAGAAAACAAAGAAAACCCTTATCGGATTTCACTCACAATGGATTTTCTATCAGAGAAGTTTTGGAGATAACGCGATCCAAGGACGCTATTTGTGTCGCTGAAGGTGGATTTTCTACTGCCGTCATGGGAGAGTCTCATCCGCTGATCGAGCACACGGGCTTGCACTCGAACCAGAGCTTGCATGCAACGAAGGGTCATCTTCGCCTGCTTTCTCACGTTGTGACCCCTCACCAAAGCCTGCAACTTCACCAACCCCTTCAGCGCACGCAGAGCCCTCCTTGCCTGTAAAATTCAATTAGAGTAACTCACACCCAGCTCAACCCAAAAAGAACAGAGATTTACAGTACTTCATTAGCATACCAAGTATCCTCTAAAAGCGGTCTGAATAACAATCGCAGCATAGTGATATCTAGCGTGATTGGAAGGCCTAGTAGGGAGGCGAGCAATCTCCACAGCCGCTTGAGCAGTGGCGACAGCAGCTTCAGCAGTAGCCACCGCAACCGCAAGCGCTGCCTCGGAAGATGCATGTTCCGTAGCCGACGGCGTTTGGTGAGTATCCGTGTCGTGTAGATTGGTGGATCGCCTGAAAATCCATCTCCGCTTCTCTCTTTTCTGCAGAGGAAACGAAGGTGAGATCAAAAGGGTAAGAACAGAGAGAAAATGAAAAGCTCAGACCTTGTCGTCTTCATCCTTGGAAGGAGATCTAAAAGCCCTTTTGACAGCAGTCAACCAGGAGGAGCCTCCCTTCTTACCCATAAAAGAAAATGAAAAACAGAGGAGGGCGCTGCATTTACAAGAACAGCACTAGCAGGGAGGGGAAAACAGAGAGAGATGGTTCATGATTCAAGAACAGAGAAACCAGTAAGCAATGCAGCTGTGATTCCATCCAGGCCACCCAGAGATAATCTCGAATTCAACCCATTGGATAGTGAAGAATAGGAATCTGTACCCTTTTTTACTTTTAGTCTTTTAGTGTTTTTTTTCTTTTGCAGGGATATTAAATAAATTAATTAGTTGGATAGATGAATGAATAATAAGAGTGGAAGGAGATTGGGGACAAAAACAGCAATAATGGCGCATAGGGTTGTCAGTGGGACGAACCGAAAGGACCCAAGAAAGGGGCCGTGGACATTTAATAATACAAAGGATTCAACGCCATTCCATTCAAGTCCAGGCGTTGCGTTGCGTTGCGTTGCGTTGCGTTGCGTTACGATTGCCCCGCCGTGCGGAGGGTAAAGGGGGAGTGGGGGAGGGGTACGCCAACGCCAGCGCCAATGCCAGCGCCATTGCCAGCGCCATTGCTTGCTTTTTCCGCAGCCCCAAAGCCCCAAAAAAAGAAGAAAAAAAAAAAGTAATAAAAAATGAGTGGATGGATGGATAAAAGGCAGCGCCAGCTCCCCTGTTTCTCGAAATCTTACTTGAAAAAAAAACAAGGCTCATGTCGTGCTGTCACGTGCTACTGACACAGGGAGAGTGTTGGTTCACCTGTGGTGTCGGACCACGCTGTTCCTCCTTTTCAACAACGTTTCTTAATGTAACCCGTCATCTTGCACTCTTCACTCTATAGTTTACTTTAATTATAAGTTTTCAGTTCCCAAACAAACAAAATACATCATCGAATCTTTCTTGTCGTCCTCTAGAACATTAAAATAAGCAAAGTAATTAAAGATAGTGTCATTTATTTATATACTCATCATCTTCTTTTAATTAATCAATGTGAGACTCCAATAATCCTCCTCTCAAATAAATACACTATTGAACCTCGAGATAGTGTCTCTTACTTATACACTTATGATCTTCTCCTTAGTTAGTAGACCGAATTCCTATGAGGTCTTCACCTTCAAATAACTAAATCATATTTAATTATGAATTCTAATATCAAATTTTATTTAGGCTATTTTCTTTTTGTATGGTTGAGATTTTAACCATTTATTTAGTCTATTTTTTTAAAAAAAAAACGCTCCAACTTTAAAATTTAAAAAATAATAATCCAATAATGTTTAATTTTAATCTTTAATGGGTCAATTTAAAATTCAATTTTTTTATAAGTCTCTTAATCTAAAAAATAATATATAACTTGGTCGGTTAATTAAAATCGAATAGGAAATCGAAACAATGTTACTATAACGGTGTCAAAATCATATTTGAAAAAACTATAATGGTAGATAAATCTATATAATAAAATTATATAATGGAATGATTATACACGTTTTATTCTTTGGGCTTTTCTTTTAGGACTTTCTCTCAATATTTTTAAAACGTACCTAATTGGGGAGTTTTCACACTCTTATAAAACTGATATGTTCTCCTCCATCTACCACCAAAAACCATATTAAGCAATCACTCTTCAGTGACCACTAGTGGTTGGCTTCCTGATACACCCAATATGTATCTTTTACCACAAAAATAATTATCAGCAATCACCTCAAAACCTATAATCTTTTTATGAACAATAAAGCCAAAAAGCAATCAACATACAATCATATAATAACATACATACATACATAACCATATTTAGAAAACCAAAAACATTAAGCTTGGTTGATTAACACATCGAACCTCCAACATCGATATTCATGTTACTGTGTTTACATTTATAAGTGAGTATTAACGTTATTTTGAATCCAAAATCAAGAACTAACCAATTATTCGCGGAAAGAACAGTTCATACGCAGGTGATGTACAACCACCGACGGCAGCCCTTTGCATTTTCGTGGCGGCAACTTCCTTTTGGAGGAGGAGGAGGGATGAACAAGAAGAAATTGGTGATATCAGATGCATGTAATTGTGAGATAAAATCAATTTAGGGTTATTATTATTATTATTATTATCATCATTATTATTTTGATAATGCATATAATGGATATAAAAGTGTGTATATATATATATATCTATTATTAACCATCAGCCTATACATCTAAATACTTAATATGGAAGTCATTTTATTATTATTTTATTTTTTTGATCTCTTTCTTTTCTTTTGCCGTTAAATTTGGTGTACCATAAAAGAAAATAATTGAATTAAAAATTAAAAATTATATTTTCTATTTTTTTTTAAATTTTATTGACAGTATTTACTAAAATACATAAATAAAATTAATGAGTCGAATTGGGTGTCAAGTTAGGAATCCTTACCCTCATACAAACGTCATCTTTACTTGGGTACAACCTTTATCAATCATATTCTCATTTCTTTTTTGGTGGACTTTTCGAACTTTTTATTAAAAATTATATTAATTTCTTCTTTTTATAAGAATATACATTTTCTAAGATTTTATTTTATTTTTTTAAAAAACATCAATTTATATGTGTTAAAACTAAATTTAAATGGCTAAAAAATTAGAATGTCTTCCCAAAGTTCAAATCCAACAAGTGAAGCCCATTTACTTATATGTCTAAAAAAAATAAAATTAGAAGATGTAGTAAGTTTTTGAAGATGGAATACTCAAATATCAAATACCTTATTAAGGAGAGCATGAAAAATCAACCTCGAAAATAAGCTCGGAAGCTATCTGATTGTACGTTTGAGAGAGAAAAAAGATGTATTTAAAGAATCACGTTGAGAACCAAATTGTCACCGAATCAAGTTAGATTTCTATTGTCAAAGATCACGACAAAGAGAAGGTGTGATATTAGGATTCCATTTTAAAGCAAGCCTCTCTCATACACAAAATAAGACACGTGATGGAGGAGAGAGAAGCTATGGCAAAGGAGAGACTTGGTGCTTCGTCTGCAAGGAGGAGAGGCCTTTTGGGATGAATAGTTTATCAGCGTTCTTATTTGAACATCTTATTTAGGTCACATAATTATGTTCTTAATTTCTAGGCGTGGATATTAGCAAGAATTGATTGAAACTTTAGTATGGGTTCACATTGTTTGTCTCAGACATATTTTGATCGTGAACGGGCGCTCCAACATCTACGATCTTGAATGATCTTGAATGCTTGGGATAAGATGCAAGGAGGAGAGGAAAATTGGACCAGAGCGGCCTTAAATTAAATTATTAGTGGCATAGAATTGGACCAGATTCCAAAATTGATAGACACTTGATTTTCTCCTGCCATGGCCTTTTCAGATTGTCATTGTTCTTTCTGCACCAGAAAGCCTTGGAGGTCCACTGCTCCTGCTCTCTTCCAAAAACTGTATTAAATATGCAAAGCCTTTTACCACGGCCAAAAAAAAACTTAGCAAATTATAAATAAAAAATACATAGACAATATCATATTGTTACAGAGACCCATGATTTTTAATAGAGCAAATGCTCGATAGAGATTGCTGAGACCAGTAAAACGTTTGAAAGCAAACGGGAATTGCTGATTGCTTGATTAACTAATCCTAGCCCAAGAGATTGTGCGTAATTTTAATTTATGCGTGCAGCCATTGTTAATATGATACAAAGAAGGGAAAAAAAGGACAAACGCGTAATTTTAATTTATGCGTGCAGCCATTGTTAATATGATACAAAGAAGGGAAAAAAAGGACAAACATATATGTATAGATATATATATATATATATATATATATATTATTTCAACCCATACTGGAGCTTATCCATGGCGGATCCCTTCCAGCTCCCTGCCACACTGGAATGATCGGAGCTGGCAGCCGATCCGACGCCGTTTCCACACTTAGCCACCGTCCTCACGTTCTCAATCAACTCCTCCGTACGATTACCCTGCTTCAAAATCTCCGACAGCTGTTCCGGGCATATCACCAGCTTCACCTTCCAAACCCCCGTACTACTATACTTCGGAAACACCTCCGCCTCCGCCTCCGCCGCCCGCTTCTTCGCAACCGCATTCTGCGACTCGCACGTCGACATCCGATACGGCGTGGAAACAACGCTGGGCGCGTCCGCCTCGATTTTGGCAGAGGGCTTGTATGGGTTAAGCGGGAGAAGGTAATAGACTTGACCCTCGTGAAGCTCATCCTTATGAAGAAGGGGCTCCGAGAATATACTTCGGCTCTTAAAAATCGCGTGGCCGGGATATTCCCCTGTTATGCACTCCGCCGTAATCGGCGCATAAAGCTCCATAATTCCGCCGTCGACAGTCACCACTTTCACCACATCGACCCTTTCTCCGGCGACTTTCAACACGCAATTTCCCATATCCGGAAGCTAGAACATAGCAACAGAGAATTAAAATGTGCATAAGAAGAAGAAAAAGAAGGGAATATGTTCGATGGAAAAGAACAGAGCGCAAGAATCCTTTGCTTTCTAAATAAACAATACCTCCTGAATCCTCATATATGGGCAGTGAGCAGTCCAGGAGATGATGATGATGGCGATGGCCCCGCGGCCCGATGGCCTTAGCTTTTTGTCTTTTACAGACTCCTTTTTAATGAACAGAACAACGCAACATTGTTCTCGATATTCTACAGAATTATGAACACTATTTGTTTCATCTCTTTTAATTTACTCTCCAAAATAATTGAGCATCGAATTATTTTGTGGGTAATGCGTATGAATGTTGACAAAATTGGAGTAATAAATTGGGATAATGATGAAGAAGGTGAGTGAGTATTACACACAATGCCTGGGTTGTCAGCTTTCCTCACAAATGGAGCCCATCGCTACCATTATATGTGATTTGTGTATGTCACTTCCTCCATTTTTTCATATGCTATTATTCTACATTCATTTAATAATCCATTAATTTGCTGAATCTTAGCTTCTTATAGTATCACATTTCACCCTGTATTCAATTATTTTTTCTTCCACATTCATCCTTTCGCAAGCTTAGAAACTGAGCTTCGAATTCTTAGTGGTACTGTCCATTCATGTACTTTGAGAGCTTTCCTATTTATTTGAATAATTGACCGAAAGAGGGTTTCTCCATTTGCTACCCTTAGTATATAAGGGACTTTTGCCTAGAATAGAAGAAAGTCTCAAGGCAAAAGTAGAGAACAAAAATGACAAAGCACTGGTCTCAACGAGCGTCAAGTACTTCTCGATCAGTCTCACTAGTGCAGTGGATTGCTCTTTCTTTAGTCTTTAGTTAAGACTACCATTGAAGATGGGTTAATCCAAGCTTAATGGTCGACCACATTCAATAAGTGAGACTTTGAATGAAGGGTGGCTCTTTCAATCCAAATAGTTTATGAAAGGTTAAAAACAGTCTCTTCACGGGTTCCTTTTTTAAGGGAAAAAGTTCGAAAATACAAACTTTTAACACCTTTATGACTAATATTCTTTACGAGTGTTCTCGATCACCGAACCAATCTGAACTACTCAATCTAAATTATAAAAGTTGGATTGGGTTGAGTTGAGTTATTAAAAAATCAAAATTTTAGTTCAATTTGTAGATTAACATTTAACCTTGACATAAAATTATAACTCAACCTAGCTCTGTTTTATTCCAAAAAGATTAAAAGTTTGTAATTGATGTGACTATAGTTAAACTTTATAAGATTTTAGTTATTAATGTAACATATATTGTATATAGGTTTTTTTTAAAAAAGAACATCTCCGAAAAACAAGGATTGAGTTGGATGGTAAACTCTATTCTAATGGGTCGGGTCACCAACTAGTAAAACAAATTCACCTGAACCTGAACCAAATTTAATCGTGTAAATTTCTAAAATTTATATTTATATTTATGATAGGTTTTGTTTATTTGGTTAGGTGAAAAGTAATTAGGGGTAGGAGAAACAAGGCATTTTTTATGATAAAAGAAGGCATTATAAAAAGTTTAATGAAAAGAAGAAAGAGAAAGGATGGTGATTAGAGGTTAAAACAAGCCTTAAAAAGTAGTGCACAAAAGGAAATATGATTACGAAAGAGGTAGTAGGGCGGTGCTCCTTTTCGCTTTCTACTCTGAGACTCCTTTCAAGATTTTTAAAACGTGTATGTTAGTGAGAGATATCTATACTCTTGAGATCTCACCGCTGAATTCATTGTTTAATAACAACAATTTAAGTTAAAAATTTTGCAACTTGAGTAAATGGGTTGGGTCTAAAAATATCTCAATCCCGATCTACTTAATATTCTTGAATTAATAATATATACATTTATTGGTAACTTGGAACATAAGATTTGAATTTTGGAGTTAGAATTATGAGTGTAAGGGGAGAAGGGCAATGAAATGATATAGGGAAGGGAGGTGGAGGAGAAGCATCATGAACATCAAATCTTGTTGATTAGAAGATGCTTTGAAGCAACTTTATCGCTATAATCATTCAACCTGTTGCAACCATTCCAAATTTTCAACTCTCTTTCAGTTTTCTAAATTCTTCCCTATGTAATCATTATCCTTACCATATTGGAAGCCCATATAAGAAATTGAAATAATTATATTCATTAATATGATTAACGACTATAAACATGGCAACTTAATCCAAATTCACCGCTAATAGCTATTGAATCAGACATCGTTGGTGTGCAACAAGGATGTTGGGCCCTCAAGGGAGTGGATTGTAAAATCTCGCATTGGTTGTAGAGGGAAACGAAACATTCTTTATAATGATGTGAAAACTTCTCTCCAACATACGCGCTTTCAAACCGTAAGGTTTACGGCAATACGTAATAGGTCAAAGCGCACCGTATGCATTGACTTTCACTCTTTGAATAACAAATGTCCAAAAGATTCAAAACGGATAGTATGCATTGACTTTCGCTCTTTGAATAACAAATGTCTCCAAGATGAATTTCCATTACTCATTACTAAGATTGTGGTTCATTTTATGATGGATCATTATGTTATAAATAAATTCAAATAACTCTTGTAGATGAAGAGATGACGTGTAACGGTCTAAGCTCCCCTAGTAGATATTGTCCTCTTTTGACTTTCTCTTTCGGGCTTTACCTCAAAGTTTTTAAAACGCGTCTGATAGGAAAATGTTTCCACACCTTTATAAAGAATTCTTAGTTCTCTTCACAAACCGATGTGAGTCTCACAATCAACCCTCCTTTGGGGCCAGCGTTCTCATTGACACTTGTTCCCTTCTTCAATCAGTGTGGGATCCCCCAATCCACCCTCTTCAGGATCAAGTGTCCTTGTTGGCACACCGTCTCGTGTCCACCGCCCTTCGGTGCTCAGTCTTCTCACTGACACATCATCTAGTGTATGACTTTGATACCATTTGTAATAGCTCAAGTCCACCACTAGCAGAGATTATCCTTTTTGGGTTTTTGCTTCTAAGTTTTTCCTCAAGATCTTTAAAACGTGTGTCTAATAGGGAGAGGTTTACAGGCCCTTATAAAAAAAATGATTCGTTCTTCTCCCTAATCAATGTGGAATCACACATGACGACCTTTCGAACTCTAGAAAAGATATTGTTACTTGAAGATCCGATGAAAAAGTCTTCGTTGTTGAAAATTTGGAGACTTGAACTAGAGTAACGGGAGACATTGCCCTTATTTCGTTCGAGAAGCACATGCTTTTGTGCTCGAACAATGTTGTTGAATATCCAAAAACTTGGCTAGGACGAACATTTTGCATTGTCACAAGTAAATTATACCACCAAATGAAGATGAACATCAAGAAATAAACATGATCTTCGATTGGGATAGCCTCTCATAGACTATCTTTAACGTGGGAAGCTTCCCACAAAT